CAAACAGAATCAAGAGCAGATGTAAATGAGAGGCTATGTTCCAGCTCACCCAGAGGCAGGAGGAAAGGGCAAATTTCTCCCTCACCAGTCTCTGTGTTCTTTGGGCCTCAGCAGTTGGGAGATACCACCCACACTAGGGAAGCTGTACCTGCCTCCCTGGACCCAGATTCAGATGCTACCCTACCTGAAATAACCTCAGACATTGGAAGCCGTGTGACTGGGCAACTCACACATACTCAAAACAATGTTGGTCATGGCCCCAGGCACTGTCCTTGTTAAAGTAGAGGCCAGTCCTTGGTTGTGGATCTGTTCACTCAAACATCTGAAACAAGTCAGCAAGAGGTTCAGATGTGTCCTTTCCAAAGACTCTTGGATTTTCTCCAAATTAATGAGATTCCATGCATGTGGCAGGAACCCTGTGTCTGGATCCCCAGTAGGCGCATCACCATCAGGCAATCACCAGACACCTAATGCACAGATGAGCCCATGCATTTAGCACAACTGAACATCCTAGATGCACAAAAGGGCTGTGAGTATCACAAGACTGTGGAACCAATGGCTACTGTCGCCAGGGTATCCCCTTCGGTCCTGAGACACTCTCAGGGAACCTGTCCATATCTAAGCAACTTCACTTAGGGAGCTTTCTCAAGACAGGGTAGCCAGGAATCCAGGGCTTTCTTTCATGTCTACTTGTTCCTGCCTTCTAGAACTGCTGAGTGTTCTACCAGCAGCCTGGCAGCTGTGTACCTTGAAAAAGCTGTGGTGTACCTGTGGGTCTGTTGGTCCTTACACCTTCTTCACATGAAGTAATATGTGGGACAGGTTTTGACTGGTAGAACCTTGAAGCATAGCGTGACCTAATACAGGACCCGGACAATGTGTCATTCTGTCTGTCCATACTGCCTCTGCCCTGCTGCTTACTTTGGCATTATGTTCACAGTAGACTGTGATGCTGTACACTGAATCCTGACAGAGGCCTGTTCTTCCCAGCTGTAGTTCTGGGACTCTAAAGTAAGTTGGCTTACTGAAATTCCAGTCAGGTCTCCTTATTCGCCAGGAGATGCTTCAGAGATTTCAACTGTCTAGAACAGTCCAGGTTGCTGCCAGGAGATTCTGGGTGAGTCCCGAGTGACAAGTCATCTCTCCTACTTACTTTCTTTCTTTCTTTCTTTCTTTCTTTCTTTCTTTCTTTCTCTCTCTCTCTCTCTCTCTCTCTCTCTCTCTCTCTCTCTTTCTTTCTTTCTTTCTCTCTCCCCCTTTGCTTCTCTTTCCTTTCCTTTTCTTACCCCTCCTTTCTGCTCTGCCTGGGATCCACATCTCTATCTATTGACAATCTAAAATAAACTTTACTCAGCCTTGTAAACACTCAGATAACTTTAGCCAAAATTCTGGAACATCTCTCTGTTCCAGCTGGCTTGCTCAACTTTGTCTCTGACCATAGCAAGTCCAGGGGGAAAGTGACTATAGAAACAACTGTCCCACTGATCAGACATACCACTCAGGTATGGGAATGGACATCACTGAGCTGAGAGAAAAGAGAAAAAAAAGGAGTCGTTTTTCAGGCATTACAGCACTACCCAGGAGTAGAGATGGTTCAGTCTTCTTGCTTCTCCTCCACAGAAAAACAATTGGATTTGTGTGTATCTAGCATCCAGAGAAGGGATCCTCCTTGCCTGCTAAGTGTGGAGAAGGGAAATATGTTACTAGGAAGCTGAGTGTCCAGGATAGCCTGTACTGGCTGCATTGCTGTGTGTAGCAATTTCAACTGTCTCCATGGTAACTCTTCAAAATCTTGCTGTTCCAAATAAACTACTTCAAGGTTTTAGAAAATAAGAGAAGTGAAAGATTCGTTGGCTCCAGTTGATTGTGACCAATTGAGGACTCCTTGAAGTGCCCCTTTAAATCTCAAAAGTGGCTGTGTTTCCTGGGGTAGGGATTTACTGATCTGCCTACTTCTACAGTTGTGGGGGAAAGACTAGGGTTGTTGACAGGATTACCTGGATTTTAGGTCGAGCTGGGCGCAGAGCACAGGAATTTCTGTGCTCATTTCTGAGTGAGCCTCCCCAGCAGGTCCCTCTTCTTGCCAGTGGCCCCAGCAGAGCTGGTCGAAACTTGTAGGGGTTGGTGCCTTAAAGTTTCCTGCTCACGACCCTAGAAGCCTACAGGGGCGGGGAAGGTCTATAGGAGCAGGGTAGAGGGACGGAAGCCACGAAGAAAGCAGAGGGAAGTAGTGGGGAGACTCTCGGGGGCGTGTGGATCACCGTAACCCTCTGTTGGTTCTTAGACACCTACTCCCTAGCTATGCTTTGTGGGGACCCCAGTGACCCCCACTATTCTTAACTCGTAGCAGACACCCTCCTTCGGCTGATCAGCCATTGCAGGCAGGCGTTACTGGACCGGGAGGTGAGACAATCCAAACCCCTCCCATCCCGGTCCCACCCCAGTCCCCGGCCACACCTCTATCCCTTTCCCTCGGGTCTGGGCCCCCAACCAATCTACCCCCACGCCTGCCGGGTGGGGCCCCATTCACTCGCACGCGATCTCAGCCATCGCGTGACGCCGGTGGCCGCAGGAGGAAGCCGGAGGCGCCAAGCACGCGATGGGGGTGGCGGAGTCCCAGGAGCTCAGCTCTGCTGGACCTAACCGCTCTTAGAGGCGGAGCTGGCTCTCGGGGTTGGAGTAGGGAGATCCTGTAGATCTGGCCAATTTCTGGGTTGTGCTCAAGTAGTCCAGCACCCCCACCCCCACCCTCTTCCCGGCGTAACAAGTTTATCGACCCCTCAGCCACCCTAGCTTAAGTTCTCTGGAAGCCTTGTGCAAACCCAGCGGTGCTGGGAACGTTGCTCCTCTGCAGGGAGGCCATTAGAAAGTTGTCCGCTGGGAATCCTCACGGCTAATGCCTTGGTTTTCATGGGACCTACACAGGCCTAATCTTCCTGTTCTCCTCACCCCAAAGCACGAGGAGACAGCTGCTCTTTTAACTCTTGCAGTTTTCATGGAATGTTTCCCAAGGCTATGGGGATGCCTCCTGGGGCTCTAGCGCCTCCGCGTGGAAGCTAGTCTCTCAGTTCCCTATCACCAGAGAAGCAGAGCAGATCGCGAAGAAGAGGGGTACAATAAAGTGAACCTCTTGGGGGCCTCCTGAAGCCACATCTGGAAACTCAATGTATCATTGCCTCCTGTGTAGGAGGCCCAAACTGGGGAGGTTAAAGGTGAAGAAGAACTGGTAGGTAGGCTTCAAGGAGTTTGGCTCCACCCCCTTCTTTTTCCTAGAGCAGCTTTTCTCAACCTGTGGTTCTGACCCTTTTTGGCAAACCTCTATCTCCAAAGATATTTACGTTATGACCATAACGGTATCAAAATTGCAGTTATGAAATAGAAACGAAAATAATTTTATGGTCGGGGGTCACCACAACATGAGGAACTGTATGAAAGGGTCAAAGCATTAGGAAGATTGAAAACCATTGCCCTAGAGGCATCAGGGGCTCAAGTCTCCCAGGAGTGATTGAGTTCTGAAAAGAAAATGGTACATTCTTTACTTAGTGCAGAAAATCCAGTCTCAGTAGTTGGGAGAGACAAGGGTAAGAAATGGTAGCTGAAAAAAGGAAGAGAAAGATACCAGGTCCCAAAGTCATGCCACTGCCACTGGGGCCATAGTCTCCTGGGCTCCCCTGGGAAGGGTGGCCTGTTACACAGGGTGCATTGTCCTTAACAAGACCCTTGCATGTGGGTAGGACTGTCTGAGGATGCCATGGACTTCTGGGACAGTGGAGGCTGCCAACCAGCTGAAACAGCAGCTTTGCATGAGACTAGGGAGGCTAGCTGTGAGGGCCAGGTGTAAGCCTGTTGGGGAGTGGGGCAGGGTGTTAAACAGTATCTGGATCCCAGAGTAGTAGGGCTGCCTGGGAGCCTGGATTCCTCAATCCTCTGGAGATGCTCTCCAAAAAAGGGGAGTTCACTTTCATGGTACCAGCTGACAGTAGACTGGTAGGAACCACTCAGAAAGGGAGGCATAGAGTCACAATGAGGCTCAGATTCTAGGTAAGGATTACCAAACTATACCACCACTTCTGGGCATCAGGGTTGGACAGCCAAGCCATGTGATACATGAATGATAGAACTTTGATTCAAATATTACTTTTACTTATGAAAAATACTCCCAGACCATCAAACTCATCCTTTTCAGCATGAGGTGGGCAGTGAGCAGGCAGTGAAGGTACTTTTAAGAATACTGTGGCCCTCAACAATGGGACTTTCTGTCTGTCTTAGGTCTCCAAATGGTGGAGATGCGGTCAGTCCTCCAAAGACTGGAATCCAGCTTAGTAAGAGAACCATGAGCTTTCCTTCCCAAAGCCTTTAGACCAGAGTTGAATAGGGGTACCAGGGAGGTTGTCATCTTCGTAGGCTCAGAAGCATTTGGGGAAAGTGTGGGCATTCTCAAGGGACTTCATTTACCTCCAGATGAGGACATTTGGGCTGCTCCCTTCCAGGAGAGATGAGGGTATGGGATACGGGTAGACTCAGAGGACCCTGACCTAGCCTTGAAGCAGATGGCAGATAGGTTCCCTTTCATCAGTTCTGTTGAGATCTGATGGTATTTGGATCTCAGTAGGTGACATGTCTGTGGGAAACCTGGGATCCTTGATCATGAAGGGGACCTGGCAAGAAGCCATACTTTGTCTCCAGACTGGGTAGAAGGGAGAATCAAGAGCATTTTCCAAGATGAAGGTGGGTGGTACATGAGTTGGTTACACTTTTACATTAGGTCACCCTTTCTTGTTGACCTGGGGCCTCAACTTGATCCTCCTGCCAATTATACAACTTTTTAGGACTTTTTGGAGATGCTACCTATCTTGTATAGGACAACAGCACAGCCTAGGTTGAACATCTAGCAGGAACCATGCAGTATAATTCAGACAAACATAAGAAAAACATGACTTAAAAACCACTAGCAGGCCTGGGCTCTGCAGAGGGTTCATCTGTTCATTCTTCCCTGACAGCCTTGCAGGAGACATGTGTATGGCCAGCTCCAGCCCTGCCACCTGAAGACCACTCACACAGAGGGTTCCCTGTGCAGGAGGGACGGCTGCTGCTGGAGGTAAGAGCACATTTCACTGCAACTCCACACAGCCATGATGGTTTTGTTTTGGTTTTATTTGTTTGTTTGTTTGTTTGGTGTGTGTGTGTGTGTGTGTGTGTGTGTGTGTGATTCCTAATAAGTAGTTGAAAGGCACTAATGTGCCTTCATGAGCTATTTGTCAGACTTGTCCAAGACTGCTTAAGCTAGGATCTGTGGGCAGAGAACAACTTCAAGGAAGGAGTTAAGGATTTCGTCATCCTCTTGCTAAATCTAAGAATCATTTGTCATTCCATATTTGCTGGTTTTACCCACTGATGAAAGAACCTAAATATTAGGCCATTTATTTCCAAATTAAACACTAAAAATAGTCAGTGTTGAGTTTCTGTGTGGTTCACCCAGAGTCCTATGCAAACAGGACCTGACAATTTTTAATTACACACTGGCATTCAGGCTGATGGGGACTTGCATTAGGTGGGACTTTTTCCCATATGAGATGAATCCCCAGACTGTTTGGTGCTGAGATTTCTCTGAAGTGTTCAAGCTTGGTCTCTGACATCTCGGAAGATAGTCACAACAGAACCGTGTCTGGGGGCTGAGGGTTGGCACAAAAAGATCAGGAAATGATGGGAATATAGGGTAGGGCAGAGTTGTGCTCCGTTGCCCCCATCCTCACTGGGCCAGGCCCTGGGTGAGCCTCTGTGGGCAGCACAGATGCCAGGAGCTGGTAGTTCCTCACTTTTCTTCTCAATCACTGTGGGAGAGGTTTGGCCTTATGTTCATCACCATTCAAATTTTAGGCACCATCTCTGTCTATGCCTGCTTTAAAAGAGGAAATGAAAATATTAAGAACCCATAGAGAGGGAATAGCTCCTTTGGGGAGCATTGTCCTTCAGTGGAAGAAATATGTGTAACCTTATCACTTACCATTATGTGCTAGAAAGCACATTCTTAAGTACTATTACTTTTTCTCTAGTATTGCTTTTTCTGTCAATGATAGTAAAAGCAGAGAAGATTCATTAAAAAATTAAGACTCATAAAAATCCTCCTTAAATTTTTGTATTAAATTATAAAACACAGAGTATGCACACAGCACCCAAAATACCTGAGTAGTCTGATCGAAGTCCTAACCAGGTACATGTTCTTCAACACCTCCTGTCCTGTCTCCCTCCTCATGGCTGGACTTCCTTTTATACCTCCCTTTTAGGCTCCACACCTCCACCCACAGCCTACTCCATAAACTGACTCCTCACCACTTCCTTTACTCCTCCTTCCACACCTGCATTCTTCTTCCCATGTTTCCAGCCACGCTTTGTCTGGAACCAAGTAGGTTGGTTACGTGTAGGGTCTTTCTTTCATCTCCAGGGCAGGGAATTCAAACTACAAGACTAAGGATGCTTTCAGAAGGTTCCCACTGCTCCATGTTCTTCGGGTTGCTTTGGTTTTATCTCCCTCACCCAAAGTCATTTTGGTGGGTTAGTGCTGGATCCTCATCATTTGAACTAGTATTTCCTCTTGACCGAGGATGTTAACTATCTCTTCTCTGTGTCTGTGTTCTGTTTACTAACCATTAGAATACTTTGCACATATAGAAACCACAATTTTGCCTTCTTACTATTCAGTCTAAAGAGCTCATTGTACACTCTGGACACCTGTCACTTGTCACATGTGAAATTTGTGAAAGTTTTCTCCTAGGCTGCGACTTGCTCTTCATCCTCTTGATAGGTGATGCAAAAACTGGAAGTGCTTAATTTTTATTAAGTCTTTTGTCAATTTTTTTTGTTGGTTGTGATTTTGGCATCACATGTAGGAACTCTTTATCCTAAAGTCACAAAGATTTTTTTTTATGTTTTCTTCAAAGTTTTAAATTATTTTTACATTTATTTATGTAGTGTGTGTATGTGTGTGTTTGTTTGTGTGTCTGTATGTGTATGTGTGCATGCATGCTTGGGAGGTGAAAGGATAACTTGAGGGAGTCCTTTCTCTTCTTCTTCCATGTGAATCCTGGGTATTAAGCTCAGGTTGCCAAGCTTGGTGGCCTACACCTACCAAGCCATCTTACTGATCCATTCTTCACAGTTTTGTAAGTTTTACATTTTGCATTCTCTGAATTTTATCTGGCATGTCAACATTACATATGGTTCTGAGCACTGGATGATCTGAATCTTTCAACTGTTTTTTCTTTCAAAATTGTATTGCCAGGGTTGGAAAGATGACTCAACAGTTAAGAACACTGATTTGCTCTTCCAGAAATACTGAGTTCAACTCTTAGCACCCACATAGCTGCTCACAACCATCTGTAGTCTGGAGTCCTTGGGTACCCAATGCCCTCTTCCGGTATGCAGATGTGTATGCAGACAAAACACTCATATACATAAAATGCATAAATAAATCTTTCAGAAAATTGTCTTGCCTATTTAATTTCTTTATCTTTGCACATACATTTTAGAATGATCTTATTGACATCTATAAAAATTTCTTCTGGGAGCTGGAAAGATGGATCAATGATTAAGAGTACTTGCTACTATTGCAGAGGATGTGGCTTTATTTTCCTGCACCCAAAACCACTGGCAGCTGAAATCATTGGTAACTGAAGTTCCAGGAGATCAATGCCGTGTTCTGGGCCTTTATGGTACTTCCTGCACTTGATACACACATATTCAGGCAAACATTTGCACACATAAAATATAAATAAATAAATCTTCAAAATTTGCTAGGATTTTGATTGGAATTATTAAACTCAAGTGAGCCCCTGAGCATATGTGTTTCTGTTTATTTAAGTCTTTAATCACTTTCAAGAGAGTTTAATAATTTTCATCTCACAGATCCTCTGTGTTAGACTTTTAGTTAGGTATTCAGTGTTTTTTGTTGTTCTATATATGGACCTTTTTTAGCTATAATTTTTGGTTGTTGGTAAAATATATGCAGTCTGGTTTCTACGCTTACTTTGTGTAATATGACTAATACATTAATTAAGTAGTTCTGGGAGCTTTTTCATAGATTCATGGAATTCTGTTTTATGTTGATTATATAGTTTGAGGACAGAGATAATCTACACTAAAAATGTTTTTAATTATATGAATGGGCAGGGTATGTGTACATGAGTATAAGTGCCGGGGGGGGGGCAGGAAAGGGTGTTGGATAACCTAGAGCTCCTAGAGTTATAGACATTTGTGAACTGCCCTGCATGGGTGCTGGGAACCGAAGTCTGGTCCTCCGCAAAAGCAGTAAACATTCTTGACAACTCCCAAATCTATATTTACTGTTTGAAGCTACCTACTTTTTTCTGCCATCGTACATTTTTAGGCTCCCAGTACCGTGTGAAAGGGACATATTTATTTATTTATTTATTTATTTATTTATTTATTTATTTATTTATTTATAGATTTCTGTCTCTTCCCCACCGCCGCCTCCCCTTTCCCTCCCCCTCCCCCAATCAAGTCCCCCTCCCTCGTCAGCCCAAAGAGCAATCAGGGTTCCCTGCCCTGTGGGAAGTCCAAGGACCACCCACCTCCATCCAGGTCTAGTAAGGTGAGCATCCACGAAACTGCCTAGGCTCCCACGAAACCAATAGGTACAGTAGGATCAAAAACCCATTGCCATTGTTCTTGAGGTCTCAGTAGTCCTCATTGTCCACTATGTTCAGCGAGACCGGTTTTAACCCAGGCTTTTTCAGACCCAGGCCAGCTGGCCTTGGTGAGTTCCCGATAGAACATCCCCCTTGTCTCAGTGTATGGGTGCACCCCTCGCGGTCCTGAGTTCCTTGCTTGTGCTCTCTCTCCTTCTGCTCCTGATTTGGACCTTGAGATTTCAGTCCGGTGCTCCAATGTGGGTCTCTGTCTCTGTCTCCTTTCATCGCCTGATGAAGGTTAATATTCAGGAGGAAGCCTATATGATTTTCTTTGGGTTCTCCTTCTTATTTAGCTTTTCTAAGAACCCGAATTATAGGCTCAATGTCCTTTATTTATGGCTAGAAACCAAATATGAGTGAGTACATCCCATGTTTGAAAGGGACATCTTAACCTTGTTCCTTATATTCGGGGAAACTTCAGTCATCCTAAATCAAGCATGATACCAGCTTAGTTTTTCTGTTTGAAACTTTCAGTTTTGTAGATGCTTTACATTAGATTAAGAAATCCTGTCCCGTGCTTTTTTTCTGTGAGTTCTTATGAATAAATGTTGAAATTAAAGTGAATTTTCTGTATCTAGAAAGCTGAACATGTTTATCTTGTCTTTAGTCTGTTGACACTATGAATTAATTTGGTTTTCAACTGTTGAAACAACTTTGCAGCATCAGAATAAATAACACTTATATATTGCTTCCAGTTTATAAAGGGTTAGCATTAAACCTTCAAAATAGTTAAAATATTTTTAAATTAAAATATAATTACATCATTTCCCTTTTCCCTTTTCCCCCTCCAATCCTTCTTATGTATCTGTTCCCCAAATCTCAAATTCATGGTTTCTGCTTCTTTGTTATTCTGTAGAGATAGATATAGATATACAGATGAATATTCATAAATATATAAATACAACCTGCCTAACACATATTTTACTTTTATGAATATAATTGCAGGTATGACCATGATATCAGTTGGAGGCCTCTCCCACTCTCAGCACTCATTAGTTGCTTGTAGTTCTTGGTCTAGGGTAGAGGCTCCATGGTATTTTACCCTTCCATGTTAGCATGTCTATTGGTGTCGTCCTTGTTAATATCTTGTTTAGGTAGCCATGTTGATGAGATTACATGGGTGCAGCTTCTCTGACATTCTAGGTAATGCACCCTCACTGCAAACTTACTGCTCCCTGGTTCTTACAGTCTTTCTACCCCTTATTCGTCTATTCACTGAACTTTAGGTGCAAGAGTTGTATTGCAGATGCATCAATTGGGGCTAGGCAGAAAATGATAATGTTTCTCTGCATTTCTGTAATCATTTCCATCTGTTACAGGAGATGTTTCTTTTCTTCTTCTTTTTAATTTATTCTTCTCTAATATATTACATTCCAACTGCAGTTTCCCC